CAGGGAATAGGTTTGCCATTTGAGACGCAGCCTAAGAAAACACGGACTTTATTATAATGAAGGTACTGTCTCATAATGAAGGTACTGTACTGTCTCATAATGAAGGTACTGTCTCATAATGAAGGTACTGTCTCATAATGAAGGTACTGTCTCATAATGAAGGTACTGTCTCATAATGAAGGTACTGTCTCATAATGAAGGTACTGTCTCATAATGAAGGTACTGTACTGTCTCATAATGAAGGTACTGTACTGTCTCATAATGAAGGTACTGTCTCATAATGAAGGTACTGTACTGTCTCATAATGAAGGTACTGTACTGTCTCATAATGCTGGAAATGCTGGAATCCTGTCTGTTTCTCTCCCATGAGAGGGTCTATATAATGTCCCTCTGTGTTTAAATTCTGCTTAGGAGGACATCTTTGCTTTTAGGACACTGACAATGTATATACAAAAACCCAGAGGCTCTGCTTGGCAGATTGGGCAGCAGCTGTCTACGTGGTCTGGATCCAAAACGAATTGACTGGATATAGGAGGTCAATGGCTGCTTCTCAAATGACACCCTACACCCTAGGGAACAGGATTCTGTTTTTCATCCTCTCCTTCTAATCAGGGGCTAATTCAGACCTGGGACACCAGGTGAGTGCAATTAACTACCAGGTAGAAATAAAAAACAGAAGCGTTTCGGCCCTCCAGGACCGGAATTGAAGAACCCTGCCCTATGCCCTAGGGAACAGGGTGCCATTTTGAGACGCTGACGATATGTTGTACTTGTACTTGCACAGAGAGAACATAAGAGATAAACCAAAATGATGTCATTATTTGTAATACAGGGTACGTTTTAGAATGTTCTATATTTTATATTGTCCTCTACAGTGTTTAAAATCCCTCATGTTGCGCTGTTCAAGCACCGCTCTATTATCTGTATCTATGGTTTTAATTGTATAGTTATTTTGACAAGTTAAAAATCATTTACATATTTGTCCCTTGTTGTCTTATATCTGGTCCACCAGCTGCCAGTTGAACCTAGGGACACGGTTAATCTTACGCTGCCTACTGAATGTAGATGTTATACTACTTAATTCAACGTTTCAGAACCTCTTCTCTTATCGAAAAGTAGATAGTGAGTTGTTGTGTTTTGTTTAGTTCTTGCTCAGCTCTAAGAGCACTGGGAATACCCTTCAATTGTAATTCAATCCCACAAATCAATTCATTTGTCATCTTATAAAAAAATGTACAGTATATGTTTGCAAAAAAAAATACTAACCACAAACATCAATCACTTTCCTCAACTCTAACCTTCACCCCACTTTGCGGGGCTGTCATCAGGGCAAGGGGTGGCTACTTTGGTAGAATCTAAAATCTAAAATACATTTTGATTTGTTTAACACTTTTTTGGTTACTACATGATTCCATATGTGTTATTTTGTGGTTTTGATGTCTTCGCTATTATTCTACAATGTAGAAAATAGTAAAAATAAAGAAAAACCCTTGAATGAGTAGGTGTGTCCAAACTTTTGACTGGTCCTATATATAATACATTTTCTGAATGGAAATACTCTTTCATTGTAAACTTAAACAGCAACAAACAAATATAAAGTATGTAGAAAAGATAATGGACTTTTTTTTTTAATAATCTTTGAGAACTAACAATCATCAAAATAAACACTGAACAGTCAGGGGAATTTAAAAATGACCAAAACAATTAATTTAACAGTATTGATTTTGTTATTAAGTTAAAGCAAAATAATAATAATAATAATAATAATAATAATAATATGCCATTTAGCAGACGCTTTTATCCAAAGCGACTTACAGTCATGTGTGCATACATTTTTAGTATGGGTGGTCCCAAAACCATATTAGCCATGACAAAATGCATAGCATTGCAGGAAATTATCTTTAAAACTGCTAAATGACTGTAAGTCGCTTTGGATAAAAGCGTCTGCTAAATGGCATATTATTATTATTATATTATATTATATAATATTATTATCACCATCATGAACTGCGATGTTAGATCTTTCCGGTCTTTATCAGTCATCCATAACAGTAGGTGGCGCCCTAAGCGTAGTAGCAGAAGACACCGGAAACATGGTTCTTCTTCTACGCCCTTGACCTTCCTGCTCCTATGACGACACATCAAAACAATAACATTTGACAGCGGTGACGCGGACTTTGCTTTCGAATAACATTATTGGAAATGAGAGAATAAAACGATCAAAGGAATGAATACGGCTCTGAGACACTGGAAGGAGGCCGCGACGGTCATACTAGCTGCTGGTACGAGACATAAAGTCACTGTAGATAGTTTGACAAGGTGTGTCGGTAAAGGCCCCTCTGCGGTCAGTGGGCCACTCCAGCTTGCCTGACAAGTTAGCCTTCGACTATAACGTGTTGTTGCTGAAACGAAGCGGTACAAGTGGCTTCATGCCGAACGCGTACGTCTTTCCCGGCGGTCTGGTGGATTCGTCGGATTTCTCAAGTGAATGGCTTGATCTTTTTAAATCTTTTCGGCGCTCACCGAATTTTGGACTCGGATTTGTGAAGCAGCCGCCAGAGACGAGACCTCCGATCTTCGCCACCGACAGAAAGAAACTGGGTTCTCCCATTCCAGGTGACGTCGCATTTCGCATCTGTGCGGTGAGGGAAACTTTCGAGGAGTCGGGTGTACTTCTAGTCGTGCCGAAAGAAGAAGAGAGTACTTTACTTAACGGCAGTCGACCCGAATTAACCAGAATAACCGATGTCTGTGACGAGAGTGAATTGGCTAAATGGAGAGTGCTGGTAAACGAGAACCCCTCTAACTTCATCAGAATGTGCAGGGAGCTGGAGTGTCTACCTAACATCTGGGCTCTGCATGAATGGGGTAACTGGCTGACCCCTACTGGCGTGTATGGAAAACAGCGGAGGTACGACACAGCCTTCTACATTTGCTGCTTGCAAGAAACACCACCTCACACCCTACAAGATGAGAAGGAAATTGTGCACTTTAAGGTGATTCCATAGTTTAGTAGGGTGAAAGTGTATTTTATTGTGATGTTCAAAGTGTTATGCGACTGTATTCATTCATGATGTATTCATCAGTTCATAACATTGTTGTAAACTGTTCATAAATCTTAGTCTAACCTAAACCCCTCTCCCTCTCTCTCCTCCCCTCTCTCAGTGGTCCACCCCCTCAGAGATCCTCCACAGCTACCAGGCCAGAGAGATGTGGATAGCCCCACCACAGTTCTATGATCTCAGCCGTATGTGCCGGTTCCCCTCCCTGCAGGACCTCCACAGCTTCTCCAGACGGAGAGCGTCAGAGGGCTGTGAACAGTGGCTCCCTATCCGCATGGTGTCAGACAACTACTACATATCACTCCTCCCAGGTTAGGGTTTACCTTTACATTAAGGTCATTTAGCAGACGCTCTTATTCAGAGGAACTTAAAGTCAGTTCTCTCAACTTATCGTAGCTCTGAAAGACAACCACATATCACAGTCAGTTCTCTCAACTTAACGTAGCTCTGAAAGACAACCACATATCACAGTCAGTTCTCTCAACTTAACGTAGCTCTGAAAGACAACCACATATCACAGTCAGTTCTCTCAACTTAACGTAGCTCTGAAAGACAACCACATATCACAGTCAGTTCTCTCAACTTAACGTAGCTCTGAAAGACAACCACATATCACAGTCAGTTCAATCAACTTAACGTAGCTCTGAAAGACAACCACATATCACAGTCAGTTCTCTCAACTTAACGTAGCTCTGAAAGACAACCACATATCACAGTCATTGGACTTCAACTCTCCTCAATAAAGCAGCTGTCAGAGAAATGAGTGCTAATAAGAAAAGTAGAGTGTTGTAACAAATGAGATGTTCTGCATAACTGATGCCCCGCTTCACATTTCTGTCTCAAAAAATCAACAACAAAAAAAATCGGAAATAAAATTGAGTGACTTATTTGATTCATTTGAATAGATTCTATTAAATGATTATTTTTAACTAATTGACTTCGCCATTGAAGTGGTTGGGAATCGAGTCATGGGAATCAAAATAATGGCGTAGCAGTGCGGTCACGTTCTTTGTTGTGTGTCTGTGTAAATAGCCAGTTTTTTTTTTTCGTACATATTTCCCTATCACACTTTTCATCCTTCTACAAAATATACTTTCCTGCAACCCGCCTCACTCAATGTGGAACGGATTCTATTATTGACTTACCTTTTATCTAGAATTTCCAGTTGAAACTAGCTAGCCAGCTAACTAGCTACTTGCTATTAGCCACCGTTAGCGGTTTTCACCCAGGACATCAGATTTTTCTGTCGGAATACCTGAATCACTGGACATTAACACCGGATCGCAACTAGCTAGCCGTACCGAATGGATGTTGCTGTTTGGCTGATCACCACTGCCCCAGAAGCAAGCATCAGTTAGCCGTGAGCTAGCCTCGAGCCAGGCCCATATCCCGGCTATCTACCTCTCTGTCTACCGGACGGGAGTAGCCAGCTAACCAGCTACTTGCTATTAGCCACCGTTAGCGGTTTTTCACCATTATCCGTGGCCTGCACTACATACCAGCCAGCTCTAGCCGTGGTTCTCTGTAGCTCAGCTGGTAGAGCACGGCGCTTGTAACGCCAGGGTAGTGGGTTCGATCCCCCGGACCACCCATACACAAAAAGTTATGCGCACATGACTGTAAGTCGCTTTGGATAAAAGCGTCTGCTAAATGGCATATTATATTATTAATATTATCGGCCAGTCTGCACCATTCGATCCAACACGACTGGTCTGCCGACGAAATCGTCTGATGTGGTTACAACAGGCTTCCCTTTACGTCGTCGACCACGAAGACCCATCTGCTAGCCCCGGCCCGCTAGCACACGCTAGCCGTGGCCTCTTGCTCGCTAGTGCTATAGCAACCCCCGAACTACCTCCGAACTCTCCTACTGCTGTTCACCGGACCTTATGATAACTCAGATTGCCTGCGTCCGTAATGGGTCCACGGTCAAACGACCACCCCTCATCACTGTCAAACGCTCCCTAAAACACTTTAGCGAGCAGGCCTTTCTAATTGACCTGGCCCGGGTATCCTGGATGGATATTGACCTCATTCCGTCAGTAGAGGATGCCTGGTTGTTCTTTAAAAGAGCTTTCCTCTCAATCTTAAATAAGCATGCCCCATTCAAAAAATTCAGAACTAAGAACAGATACAGCCCCTGGTTCTCCTCAGACTTGACTGCCCTTGACCAGCACAAAAACATCCTGTGGCGTACTGCATTAGCATCGAACAGCCCCCGCGATATGCAACTTTTTAGGGAAGTCAGGAACCAATATACACAATCAGTTAGGAAAGCAAAGGATAGCTTTTTCAAACAGAAATTTGCATCCTGTAGCACTATCTCCCAAAAGTTTTGGGACACTGTAAAGTCCATGGAAAATAAGACTGCCCAACTGCCCACTGCACTGAGGCTAGGAAACACTGTCACCACAGACAAATCTACAATAATCGAGAATTTCAACAAGCATTTTGCTACGGCTGGCCATGCTTTCCACCTGGCTACCACTACCCCGGCCACCAGCTCTGCACCCTCCACTGCAACGTGCCCAAGTATTTGAAAGTATTTGAAAGCCAAGTTAACAAACAGATCACCTTCCAATTCGAATCCCACCGTACCTTCTCCGCTATGCAATCTGGTTTCCGAGCTGTTCATGGGTGCACCTCAGCCACGCTCAAGGTCCTAAACGATATTATAACTGCGATCGATAAAAGATAGTACTGTGCAGCCGTCTTCATCATCGACCTGGCCAAGGCTTTCGACTCTGTCAACCACCGCATTCTTATTGGCAGACTAAATAGCCTTGGTTTCTCAAATGACTGCCTCGCCTGGTTCACCAACTACTTCTCAGATAGAGTTCAATGTATCAAATCAGAGGGCCTGTTGTCTGGACCTCTGGCCGTCTCTATGGGGGTGCCACAGGGTTCAATTCTCGGGCCGACTCTATTTTCTGTGTATATCAAATGATGTCGCTCTTGCTGCTGGTGACGCTCGGATCCACCTCTATGCGGACGACACCATTTTGTATACATCTGGCCCTTCATTGGACACTGTGTTAACAAACCTCCAAACAAGCTTCAATGCCATACAACACTCCTTCAGTAGCCTCCAACTGCTCTTAAACACTAGTAAAACTAAATGCATGCTCTTCAACCGAACGCTGCTGGCACCCGCCCACCCGACTAGAATCACTACTCTCGGCAGGTCTGACCTAGAGTATGTGGACAACTACAAATACCTAGGTGTCTGGTTAGACTAAACTCTCCTTCCAGACTCACATTAAGCATCTCCAATCAAAAGTTAGATCTAGAAACGGCTTCCTATTTCGCAACAAAGCCTTCTTCACTCATGCTGCCAAAAATGCTCTCGTAAAACTGTCTATCCTACCGATCCTTGACTTCAGCGATGTCATTTACAAAATAGCCTCCAACACTCTACTCAGCAAATTGGATGTAGTCTATCACAGTGCCATCCGTTTTGTCACCAAAGCCCCATATACTACCCACCATTGTGACCTGTACGCTCTTGTTGGCTGGCCCTCACTACATATTCGTCGCCATCATCAAAGGGCTATTTTACCAAGAAGGAGAGTGATGGAGTGCTGCATCAGATGACCTGGCCTCCACAATCACCCGACCTCATCCCAATTGAGATGGTTTGGGATGAATCGGACCGCAGAGTGAAGGAAAAGCAGCCAACAAGTGCTCAGCATATGTGGGAACTCCTTCAAGACTGTTGGAAAAGCATTCCAGGTGAAGCTGGTTGAGAGAATGCCAAGAGTGTGCAAGCTGTCATCAAGGCAAAGGGTGGCTGTTTGAAGAATCTCAAATCTATTTTGATTTGTTTAACACTTTTTTGGTTACTACATGATTCCATATGTATTATTTCATAGTTTTGATGTCTTCACTATTATTCTACAATGTAGAAAATAGTAAAAATAAAGAAAAACCCTTGAATGAGTCAGTGTGTCCAAACCTTTGACTGGTAGTGTAAACACACCCCTCCACATGCCGCTCCTAACATGCAGCTGTTTTGGGCTGTGAGAATGGGCAGGGAGGTATTTTGCCAATATCTACTTAGGCATAATAACGATCACGAGTATCATCCGATCCGACTATCAACTGTCAATTTACGGATACGGTTAGGAATGGGACTATGGCCATGTGGACACACCCCTAGTAGAGAGGGAACGGCCTTGTCTAGTTCCCCTGTGAAGCATGAAGCCTTGTGAATTGAGCCATTATTGATTACTGAGGCTGTGGGTGAGTTCTACTGAGGCTGTGGGTGAGTTCTACTGAGGCTGTGGGTGAGTTCTACTGAGGCTGTGGGTGAGTTCTACTGAGGCTGTGGGTGAGTTCTACTGAGGCTGTGGGTGAGTTCTACTGAGGCTGTGGGTGAGTTCTACTGAGGCTGTGGGTGAGTTCTACTGAGGCTGTGGGTGAGTTCTACTGAGGCTGTGGGTGAGTTCTACTGAGGCTGTGGGTGAGTTGTACTGAGGCTGTGGGTGAGTTCTACTGAGGCTGTGGGTGAGTTCTACTGAGGCTGTGGGTGAGTTGTACTGAGGCTGTGGGTGAGTTGTACTGAGGCTGTGGGTGAGTTGTACTGAGGCTGTGGGTGAGTTCTACTGAGGCTGTGGGTGAGTTGTACTGAGGCTGTGGGTGAGTTGTACTGAGGCTGTGGGTGTGTTCTACTGAGGCTGTGGGTGAGTTGTACTGAGGCTGTGGGTGAGTTGTACTGAGGCTGTGGGTGAGTTGTACTGAGGCTGTGGGTGAGTTGTACTGAGGCTGTGGGTGAGTTGTACTGAGGCTGTGGGTGTGTTCTACTGAGGCTGTGGGTGAGTTCTACTGAGGCTGTGGGTGTGTTCTACTGAGGCTGTGGGTGAGTTCTACTGAGGCTGTGGGTGTGTTCTACTGAGGCTGTGGGTGAGTTCTACTGAGGCTGTGGGTGTGTTCTACTGAGGCTGTGGGTGAGTTCTACTGAGGCTGTGGGTGAGTTCTACTGAGGCTGTGGGTGAGTTGTACTGAGGCTGTGGGTGAGTTCCAATCCATTGGATGAATGACTTCTGTGAAACCAAATTTCTCCAACATGGCAGATACGAACTTCCAGTTGACTCAGGTTGTCTTTTTTTTGTAATTGTTATCAGATTGAATTGGCGGCGCATGTTGTTGCTAGATTACCTGCCTTTTAATGAAGGTGGTTTGATCTGGGTGGATTAGAGATGCAATTACTGGTTCCAATCTTATAGCTAAGGCTTATTGTCCGGTAATTTGAGTAGAGAGTAGGGTCCTTATTGGGTTTGAGCAAAACCGTATTGAAATGAGTTGTAATGGATTGGAGTGTTTTCAGTTGTGCAGCCATCTTGGTGAATATTGATGATATTGTAGGCCGGAAGTGTTTGTAGAATTCTGCAGGGTAACCATCAGATCCAGGTGATTTGGTTTTTGGGCATTTCCTGAATTCCTCTGTCGTGAGTGGTCCATCTAGTTTCCTGTTATCTAGATAACTTTGGATACTATCTGAGAATGATTGTATTTCAGATGGTTGGGGTTCATGGTTGGGTTTTATAATGAGCTATAGAATGTTCTAAAGGTATATTTTGTCTGGGATGAAACATTTGATCCCAAAACTAGAATCTGTTATGAACAGAGTGGACTAAGTTTTGTAGACTTTACCCTTTGCAAAAGTTTTGAAAAATCTGCGTTGTTTAGAAGGAGTGCAAAGGCGAATTGAGTTATTGCACATGCGCACTTCACAAAGTAGGCGTTCCCTAACGGAAATATGCAGATTCATGCTAGAATGCGCCAATAGGATCTTGCTAACTCATGCTTGGCTCTGCCCCCCTCTTTGCTTGTTCTGCCCACTATGCCCTGTTTGTTCCCGTTGGAAACGACAGGCTGTGGTCTATCTTGGTTTAGCTATAAAAAATATTTGATATTACCCTGCACATTTTGGAACTTTTGAGTTGGTTTGCAAGACATTTCCCTGTCTTGTTCAATATTATCATGTCTAATTCTCTGCCTTAGGATGATCATGTCGAAGTCTCTGCCTTAGGATGATCATGTCGAAGTCTCTGCATTAGGATGATCATGTCTAAGTCTCTTCATTAGGACGATCATGTCGAAGTCTCTGCATCAGGATGATCATGTCGAAGTCTCTGCATTAGGAAGATAATGTCTGTCTCTGCATTAGGAGGATCATGTCTAAGTATAATATATAATATAATAATATAATATAATAATATAATATAATATAATATAATAATATAATATGCCATTTAGCAGACGCTTTTATCCAAAGCGACTTACAGTCATGCGTGCATACATTTTTGTGTGGTCCCGGGGATCGAACCCACTACCTTGGCGTTACAAGCGCCGTGCTCTACCAGCTGAGCTACAGAGGACCACATCAGGATAAGTCTCTGCATCAGGAGGATCATGTCGTAGTCTCTGCATCAGGATGATCATGTCGAAGTCTCTGCATTAGGATGATCATGTTTAAGTCTCTGCATTAGCAATTGTGTTTTTTTTTGTTAGTTATAATACTCTCCAGTTGGAATTTAGGTGTTTTTTTCTCATGTGAAGTCAAAACTGTCAATCTGATTTGATATGGTCATTGCTGGATGATAATTTTACTGTTTTACTGTGTGTGTGTGTCTGTGTGTCTGTGTGTGTGTGTGTGTGTGTGTGTCTGTGTGTGTGTGTGTGTGTGTCTCCTCCACTTACCAGGTGACGAGCTGTACCCAGAAGAGGGGTCATGTCAGATGAATGTGACCCTGAACACAGACCAGAGCCTTGATGAGATGCATCAGGGCAGCTCAGCACTGCACCGTATCGTAGCCCTGGACCCCTACACTGCTGCTGCTGTCATCACCATCACACCCAGATACAACCACCTGCTGCCCTTCACACGGTCCAGCCTGACAACCAGAACCAGCAGCCAGCTCTGATACAACCACCTGCTGCCCTTCACACGGTCCAGCCTGACAACCAGAACCAGCAGCCAGCTCTGATACAACCACCTGCTGCCCTTCACACGGTCCAGCCTGACAACCAGAACCAGCAGCCAGCTCTGATACAACCACCTGCTGCCCTTCACACGGTCCAGCCTGACAACCAGAACCAGCAGCCAGCTCTGATACAACCACCTGCTGCCCTTCACACGGTCCAGCCTGACAACCAGAACCAGCAGCCAGCTCTGATACAACCACCTGCTGCCCTTCACACGGTCCAGCCTGACAACCAGAACCAGCAGCCAGCTCTGATACAACCACCTGCTGCCCTTCACACGGTCCAGCCTGACAACCAGAACCAGCAGCCAGCTCTGATACAACCACCTGCTGCCCTTCACACGGTCCAGCCTGACAACCAGAACCAGCAGCCAGCTCTGATACAACCACCTGCTGCCCTTCACACGGTCCAGCCTGACAACCAGAACCAGAACCAGCAGCCAGCTCTGAGTGATGGGTTAAGACTCAAATGGCACCCTATTCCCGACATAGTGCACTACTTTTGAGCAGAGATACACAACGTACTAGTCAAAAGTAGTGCGCTATATAGGGAATAGGGTGCCATTCTCTGGTCAAAAGTAGTGCACTATATAGGGAATAGGGTGTCATTCTCTGGTCTAAAGTAGTGCACTATATAGGGAATAGGGTGTCATTCTCTGGTCTAAAGTAGTGCACTATATAGGGAATAGGGTGCCATTCTCTGGTCTAAAGTAGTGCACTATATAGGGAATAGGGTGTCATTCTCTGGTCTAAAGTAGTGCACTATATAGGGAATAGGGTGCCATTCTCTGGTCTAAAGTAGTGCACTATATAGGGAATACGGTGCCATTTGTGATGTGACCCATGTATTTTGGTATTTTATTAGGATAATAATATAATAATAATATAATATAAGGATCTCCATTAGATGTTGCGAAAGCAGCAGCTACTCTTCCTGGGGTCCACACAGAACATGAAACATGACATAATACAGAACATTAATAGACAAGAACAGCTCAAGGACAGAACTACACCTCGTAGCCTACATATCAATACATACACACAAACTATCTAGGTCAAATAGGGGAGAGGCGTTGTGCCGTGAGGTGTTGCTTTATCTGTTTTTTGAAACCAGGTTTGCTGTTTATTTGAGCAATATGAGATGGAACGGAGTTCCATGCAATAATGGCTCTATATAATACTGTACGCTTTCTTGAATTTGTTCTGTATTTGGGGACTGTGAAAAGACCCCTGGTGGCATGTCTGGTGGGGTAAGTGTGTGTGTCAGAGCTGTGTGTGTGTGTAAGTTGACTATTCAAACAATTTGGGGTTTTCAACACATTAATGTTTCTTATTAAAAAGTGATGCAGTCAGTCTCTCAAAAACTCTTAGCCAAGAGAGACTGGCATGCATAGTATTTACATCAGCCCTCTGATGGCCATGTGTTGACCTGTACCGGCCTGCTGCTGAGGCCTGCTGCTGGTTTCCCCTAGCCCTCTGAGGCCCTGCTGCTGGTTTCCCCAGCCCTCTGAGGCCCTGCTGCTGGTTTCCCCAGCCCTCTGAGGCCTTGCTGCTGGTTTCCCTAGCCCTCTGAGGCCCTGCTGCTGGTTTCCCCAGCCCTCTGAGGCCCTGCTGCTGGTTTCCCCAGCCCTCTGAGGCCCTGCTGCTGGTTTCCCCAGCCCTCTGAGGCCTTGCTGCTGGTTTCCCCTAGCCCTCTGAGGCCCTGCTGCTGGTTTCCCCAGCCCTCTGAGGCCCTGCTGCTGGTTTCCCCAGCCCTCTGAGGCCTTGCTGCTGGTTTCCCCAGCCCTCTGAGGCCCTGCTGCTGGTTTCCCCTAGCCCTCTGAGGCCCTGCTGCTGGTTTCCCCAGCCCTCTGAGGCCTTGCTGCTGGTTTCCCTAGCCCTCTGAGGCCTTGCTGCTGGTTTCCCCAGCCCTCTGAGGCCTTGCTGCTGGTTTCCCCAGCCCTCTGAGGCCTTGCTGCTGGTTTCCCCAGCCCTCTGAGGCCTTGCTGCTGGTTTCCCTAGCCCTCTGAGGCCCTCTGTTCCAAACCCCTTATTGCTGGACTGGAACACTGGAAATTAATCTTGGTTTCAAATACCTCTCAATGTATTTTTTTTTGGTACATAATTGTACAGATTTTATTTCGTCAACAAGTGTTTTTTTGTATGAAATATTCTTTGGAACTATCGCACCGTTATACACTGAGTATACAAAACATTAAGAACACCTGCTCTTTCCATGACGCAGACTGACCCGGTGAATCCAGGTGAAAGCTATGATCCCGAATTTGATGTCACTTGTTAAATCCACTTCAATCAGTGTAGATGAAGGGGAGGAGACAGGTTAAAGCCTTGTGGATTGTGTATGTTGTTCCATTCAGAGGGTGAATTGGCAAGACAAAAGATTTAAGTGCCTTTGAACGGGGTATGGTAGCAGGTGCCAGGCGCACCGGTTTGTGTCAAGAACTGCAACGCTGCTGGAATTTTTCACGTTCAACAGTTTCCTGTATCAAGAATGGTCCACCACCCAAAGGACATCCAGCCAACTTGACACAACTGTGGGAAGCATTGGAGTCAACATGGGCCAGCATCCCTGTAGGAAGCATTGGAGTCAACATGGGCCAGCATCCCTGTGGAACGCTTTCGACACAATGCCAGTCCATGTCCTGACGAATTGAGTCTGTTCTGAGGGCAAAAGGGGGCGGTTTAACTCAATGTTAGGAAGGTGTCCTTAATGTTTTGTCACTAAGTATGTCTAGGTAAACGAGGCAGCAGGTAGCTTAGTGGTTAAGAGCGTTGTGCCAGTAACCGAAAGGTCGCTGGTTCTAATCCCTGAGCCGACTAGGTGAAAAATCTGTCGATGTGCCCTTGAGCAAGGCACTTAACTCTAATTGCTCCTGTAAGTCGCTCTGGATAAGAGCATCTGCTAAATTACAAAAAAATAAAAATATATATTGTTAATTTTACGCCATAAGAAGTCATACCTTAAGCCAACACTTTTCTCTGGCCTTTCCTGCTATGGTCAGACGGCTTCACGTTCAGGAATGGAGGACGTAGGGTAATGGAATATTAACATGTGAAGTATGCATAACTTATAAAGATATCCACACAATTTATGAATGAAATTCAATTTGAATGAGATATTTACCACCATTGTCTATACGGCAGCCACAACGGGTGACAGCTTTTTTGTTTGCTGTGTGTTTAAAAACAACAGCGCATAGTTACACCATGAGCAATAGCAGATATGGAAATCATTCTCTATCTAAGTAACGGCTATGAATTAATGAGACCAGGTGTCTGATCTGACTGAGAATTGCTGATAATATCTTTGTCTAGTATCATTCCATGTTCTCCTATTATTGTATTTATATCACTATTAACAGTTCCAACTGGTGGTGTAATTTAAAAAAATGATCCCCTACTCCACAACGAAAAAAAATATTTTCACAGGACCCTCCCCTTGTACTGTAAAATAAATTGCACACCCTCCCTCTCATAGAATTAACTCAAAATAATGTTGACAACCACAAATAACAATAAGTGTAGCCAACCTATGTTTATAAACGTGGATATCAAACTTCAGCATGCTTTTGTCGACGCCACGCAGGGCTACGTGGCAGAAGGTTGAGGGTTCGACCGACCACCACCCGACGAGCTCACTCTCCCTGCCTGTTTCATCACACCACGATCAGAGCCGCTTCAATATCATGGTTTTTGCATTTGCATTTTCCACACCACAATCAATAGACTATGTCCATCTCAACAAACAGAGAATCCATTCCTACCCTGTAGGCCTACCCGGTATTAAAGGCTTGGCTTGACAATGTCCTAATGTCATTAAACTGTTTTGGTGTTTTGTAACAGATGTCTCTTTCCGTTAATGAAATGGCCGCTGCACTGTTTGGATGCTGGAATTATATTTTGGACGAACGTGCGCAGGTAGCCTACAGGAGACTTTGGAAGTAATCAGATTAAAACATTGTGACTGGTTGTGTTAATGCCACATATAAAAGGCAATACATTTTAAAAAGTTAAATGATAAATATTTAGGCTACGTTGAAGCGTTAGGTTCTAGGCGCGCGAGGAATATCCGCTGGGATTGGAGTGGAGGCAGAGTGACCATGAAGCTTTCCTGAATAACTGGGCCTGCTGGGAGCAGATGGCCCACAGCATCACGGGACGACTTGGGAGAATGATGATCTGCAACGGACAACACATCTCAGAATCAGAAGTTAAAATACAGACAGTCTGGCTACTGGGCCCTTACTGTGCCTTCAACTGTCCATCCAAATGAAATGAATGGAATTAAACATTCAAATCACAGGACCTTGGCACCGTTATTAAAATGACATTTTCACTGCAGCCTAGAGTAGAATGTTGTACTCACTTGAAAACAATATTGCATGATTGATTGTATTGTGGTGTTGTAGGTTAGTCTAGGGAGGATCATTGTATTGCACATAAACAGGATCAATAGGGGAGCTTTTCAGGTCTTCACTGTTCTTTCATGTGCAGTGACTCACCTGGACTCTCCGCTGCCTATCAGCTATTCCTCTGTTATGGGGCTTTATACTGAACATCGGTGCAGCTGTGAATTATTTGATGTGTGGTATGATTGCTAGTTAGCCTATTGCAGATCTGGGCAAACAATTTAATCAATGTTTATTGGTCACGTACACAGATTTGCAGGTGCAGCGAAATGCTTGTGTTTCAAGTGTTTCTTGTCAGTATGAATGTTGGATAGAGGGCAGGATTGTTAAGTTGCGTCAATTCAAATCTGGTATTGGAACAAAAAGAGGTCAATACACGTCTTCTAAAATAGACTAGTATTTTAATTAATGCAAAACACTTCAATGGTAAATATGATGTTCGTATATACGGGTCCACTGAAATACCACGCAGGGCACTCAGAGAACTGGTCCATTGTTATAAGTTCTTCTTTAAATACTCTGACAGAGATAGTTCCTGCTCCCTGCTGGCCAATCAGAGTAGAGACTGAGCGTGGTTTAGACTTACTCAGCCTATCGTTGGCGCACAGGCTGGTCCCAGTCCCTTGGCGCTTCACTGTTGCCAGGCATCAGTTGTTTTGCAACTTGTCCAGAGAGTCAGCACCCATAGACACAGTTTTCCTGTACTTTCCCACTCTAACTGTACTCTTTGTACATATGTCCTTGGGCAGTTCAACAAAGAGGCAGTGTGAGTCACAAGCCTATCTCAGCCTCCCCCCTAACGGTTCCTCACATTAATCACAGCTTGTTATGTTGGCCAATTTATATCAGTACAGTACAAACCTTTTATGTTTAATCATTAATGCTTTCTTATTAAGCTAACAGCACATCTAAAATATAAGATAATAATTTCCCACTATTATCACTATGAATGGTGGATAGAGGGCAGGATAGACAGTTAGACTGGTAGACTATATTATCACTATGAATGGTGGATAGAGGGCAGGGTAGACAGTTAGACTGGTAGACTATATTATCACTATGAATGGTGGATAGAGGACAGGGTAGACAGTTAGACTGGTAGACTATATTATCACTATGAATGGTGGATAGAGGGCAGGGTAGACGTTAGACTGGTAGACTATATTATCACTACATGAAATGGTGGATAAGGGCAGGGTAACAGTTAGACTGGTAGACTATTTATACTAGAGGTGGATAGGAGGGTAGACAGACTGGTAGACTATATTATCACTATGAATGGTGGATAGAGGGCAGGACAGACTGGTAGACTATATTATCACTATGAATGGTGATAAGACGAAGATACTATGAATGGTGGATAGAGGCAGGTAGACAGTTAACTGGTAGACTATTTATCACTATGATGGGGATAGAGGGCAGGGTAGACTTATTTTAGAATGGTATAGACTAGATATTATCACTATGAATGGTGGATAGAGGGCAGGGTAGACATAGACGTAGACTTATTATCACTATGAATGGTGGATAGAGGACAGGATAGACAGTTAGACTGGTAGACTATATTATCACTATGAATGGTGGATAGAGGGCAGGGTAGACAGTTAGACTGGTAGACTATATTATCACTATGAATGGTGGATAGAGGGCATGGGTAGACAGTTAGACTGGTGGAACTATATTATCACTATGAATGGTGGATAGAGGGCAGGCAGCAGTTAGACTGGTAGACTATATTATCACTATGAATGGTGGATAGAGGGCAGGGTAGACAGTTAGACTGGTAGACTATATTATCACTATGAATGGTGGATAGAGGGCAGGGTAGACAGTTAGACTGGTAGACTATATTATCACTATGAATGGTGGATAGAGGACAGGATAGACAGACTGGTAGACTATATTATCACTATGAATGGTGGATAGAGGGCAGGGTAGACAGTTAGACTGGTAGACTATATTATCACTATGAATGGTGGATAGAGGGCAGGATAGACAGTTAGACTGGTAGACTATATTATCACTATGAATGGTGGATAGAGGACAGGGTAGACAGACTGTAGACTTATTAGTCACTATGAATGGTGGATAGAGGACAGGTAGACAGGACTGGTAACTATATTATCACTATGAATGGTGGATAGAGGAACAGGATAGACGACGACTGTAACTATATTATCACTATGAATGGTGGATAGAGGGCAGGGTAGACATAGACTGGTAGACTATATATCACTATGAATGGTGGATAGATGGACAGGATAGAAGACTGGTAGACCGATATATCAACATGAATGGTGGATAGATGGACATGGTACTAGGCCAGACTGGTAGACTATTTATCCAACTAT